CATACCTTCGATTAAAAAGGATTGGTAGTTGAATTTTCCCATAGTGATAGGAGTACATGTCGAGCCTACACGCTGCACTGTCAGGGTTCGATTCCCGCTGGGGGTGCTGATGAGATGAAGGCGAGGTCGAAACTATTGTCCGGCCTGGATGAGAACAACTTATGGGAAGACAAGCCTATATGAATTCAAAGGAAACACCATCTTTACTCATATCCCTGCGGGAAAATGCAACTGCAAGTGCTTTATCATCTTAAGCGAACTAGGCTGAATACATCTAATATAAATGATTAACTGGTAGTCTCGAAACTCTACTCAAAAATGAAAAACAAGTAGTGTAATGTAGACTTAGGCAAACTATAAAAAGTGGGCAGGATTGCTGCAGGCCACCTTTCTTGTATTTGCGCTTGGTTAACTATCGTAAAGCATGTTGTCCTACTCCGATGATGTCCGTCTATTGACGGACGGAAGCTCAGCAAGTGTTCATCGGAGTCGCGTGGAGGCGCACAAATGTACAACCCCAGCTCCACGACGATCCTCCTACAGGTTCCGGTGAGGTCAACTTACGAATCCCTTCTATTCGCTTCTTAAGACGAAATCAAAGGTACTTCAACAAAATCAAGAAAGTGTTAGCGTTTGCTCATTCTTGCCTGGCGTCTGAAACTTTATACAAGCCTTGACATCATTTAAATGGCAGATTTTTATCTACGTTGAGTGTTCGTGTGTGCATGTGTGTGTGTGTGTGCACGCGTTGTATACCTCATTTTTGATATAACCATCAATTATGCTGATGCCCAATGAAGTAATCAGGTGAAATGTCTACTTGAGGTATTAAAAATGATTATATTTCGAATACAAATTTCGAGTTTAACTTGGTCAGGATGCATTGAAAAGTATCACATAAATAGAGCAAAACATCCAACCATGTAACTAATCCGTTAAGTCCAATTCCATAATATTCATACACGGTGATTTTGGTAGTAGTGGTATTCATTTTAGACAAGCAGGACAACTAGCTGATCAAAAGGGATTTTCGTAATCAGAATAAGTCCTACTTGACGAGTTTTAAAAATCTAATATTTAAATGTGCAATCATAATTAAGAGTATTCTTGCACAATATTTAAAATACTTAAAATACAAGTAAATATGGAGAAAGCACTCTTTGGTTTGAGTAATTTTATCTAATGTTAGTATTTTTCGAATCATTTATTATTTATTGAGTAATGTCTTATTCACTCAAATTAACTTAAGAGGACAGTTGCGTTTTCGCAAGATGAGGTGAATAGGTCTCAAGATGCCATTCGATTTCTGTCTAGATTGATTTGGGGAGAGGATACCGAAGACTGCCATTTTATGATAGGCAAATCCATCTGAGTTTTTCATTGTATTTCCACGTAGAACATCTTCCATTGTCGATTCCCTCCAACTGACGGTCACGGAAAAAATAAGTCTCTGTTTTCATCTTTCCTGGCTACTTCACTTACATGGACCCAATATGTCCTCCGACAATGCGAATCAAATTCGGATGAGCAGATTCCATAACCAGGAAAACATTATTTGGAAAGCGTTTTGCAATAGAATACAGGAAAGGGGCTTTATATGAAAACTTCACTCCGCAATGTATGGGCATGCTGACGTCGATGTGGAGAGATGGCGCATGTGGATTTAACTGTACTATTTGCTTGAGCCCTCAGATCGAGATCGCTTCAATCAAGACTTTTGTCGAAGCCCATCTCTGCTTGGTTGTGGAAACTGTGATAATCGGCTTTAATGTCGCTTTGGGCACATCGGTCAAGATATGTCCTCCCCTGAGACTCACGAGTCGAATCCTGTTGAGCTATCATGGAACTTGATTTTAGTATAGCACCATACATACGTGGTATTTACGAAATAAAAGTTCTTCTTTTAATTGTTGAGCTTACTTCCATTTCGAGTGAAAGTGTTGGGTAAAGGGATTCGAAGGTCGGTTCCACCAG